TGCATAAATCAAACTGTTATCGCTGCAAATTCGGGTAAACAAGCATTCATCATTGGTTTGTGCATATACGGCAGAAGCGAACGAATTCAACAGAGGCGGCCCTAGGGGAGAGCCTAGAGCCTTAGGCGAATATCGATGCGGCAGCGCGAGCTCGAGCCGACGGCGCGAGAAGACGCAGAGCAACCGCCGACTGAAAGCATCGCGACGCCAATCGAATTAACATTCTGCTCGATATCTCCCATTCTATTGTTCTCATCGAATATGACTGTTCAAAGCAACAGCTGGTTTACCATCATTTTTGCGAGGTTTGTAGCATTTTTTTTAAGGAAAGTTGAACCGGAAGATGTGCTAGCTGTTTTGTTTGGAGTTATCTCCCCTTGTTTATTTGTTTTCATTTATTTTTTCTAAGGCTCGATAGCATCCTACAAAACTTAGATTAGATGTACGCTGGAGACATTCATCCATCAAAGGGGAGAAGATGAATACATTCCGAAGTTCATTGTTCGGATTTTGATCTTTACAAAAATCAACCAAAGTCCTGCTTCAGCACGCTCGACGAAAGATATCGATCTTATTGTTTATTTAACCATTCTTTATTTTCCACTTCCTTATCTTAAAACAAATGTGGGACTAAGCGAAATCGACACCATTGCAATTGACAAATCCCAATTTGTAACCTGTTATTGGGAAAGAAGAAGAGAACGCTGTATAAGCAAGATAATAATAACAAGAAACAGTTTCTTTTCAGTCATTTCCTTTCTCTAATATTCTTTCATTTTTGTTTCTAGTCTTTTTGCGTTGTATAATCCTTTGCTTTTTTCAAATTTACACATTTTATTTCTTGGATTTTGCTAATCTACAGAGCAGCTACGTATGACTTAAATTTCGTTAACTACGGCGTGTTGTGAGCAAAATTTGAAGTATTAGGTTGGCTAAAAAATAAGTTCGGTCGTTTTTAGCTGTTTGTAGAATTGTCACATATCAGTTTTCGTGTGTGTATATGATACCATTGGAAAGAGCAAATCAAGGAGAAGCGGAAGGTAAACTCTGTTTTTTCAAAATTGATTATTCTGATAATGAAATGATGAGGGAAAGGAAATTGGTCCGATTTATTCCTCAAAATTTCGAAAAATCACGTTTCGAAAAACGAATTGAAGTCAGGTATAAAGTGTAGATTCGCTACCGACACAACAAATTTTTGAATTTCCAACTATTTGCATGACCATAGATAGCCGAATTCGAATTATCTGGAATGCCCAAAATTTGACCTTCGAGCGCAAATGCCTGGAAATTTTCACAATTTTGGCTGCAGAAATTCAGTAACAGCAGATCACAATCTCTATTGTGGTTCGCCACTTAGCCAGAGGCTGTATGTACCCAGCCACCAAATTACTCGCCTGTGTACTCACTACAGGCTAAGAACGAAACTGAGAAAATCAAAAAAGCGATTTCTCAAAAGTCTGATGATATAAGGTTATGACTGCCTTTTTTGCTAACATAAGATCTTGACTATTCAATATTTAAGAGTAGTGGCTTCAGGCTATCTTCTCACGAAAAAATCTTGGCTGAATAGCTATTACGTAAATTGTTATGGAGCTTTGAATTTGAATGTCAAAACGAACTTATTTATTAGCCAACCTAATATTTGCTAACTTGAAAGATAGCTCTCAAATGTGTGATTATCCATGTTCAATTTTCACAGAAGACTTATTCTCTTTTTGATTTCGTTGGTGAAAAAAATTTCGTGCCTTCCACTTTTCCTTTTTTCTGCAAAACTATTCAACGAAATTTTTTATCAAATTGTTTTCTTCGTGGTCTAGTAGTATTGACGAGATCTGTCTTTTGAATTAACTATTCGGGGAAGGCGAAATTTGGCGAATTCCGCTTCCTCGAAACACCACTCGACCGTCCTGGTCAAACCACATCAAAACTTTTGTATTTTTGAAACGTGATATCTCAACGTGTATGGATTTTGCATTGTATATTTTAGCGATATGTAAAGGACTGAATAACAATTGAGTGAAATTTCATCGCTTTCAGCTTTTTAAAATTCAAATCTGTTGTTTCCCTTTCAGCTATGGTGAATTTGAATTCTCTTACGTAAACCCGTGAGGAAGAATTTTCGAAAAAAGGTCAACAAGCGCTCTGCGATTTAGTGAAAAAACCCTTAGTTCTGAGTCAACAACCTCTTATCCTAAACCTTCGAAATTTCAAAACAGTTTCAAAAATCAATTAGCTTATCCATGCCATTATGTACATGACAAAATTCTACTTTTTTAAATTGTTCAAATTTGTGATTATTTTCTGCTCTTGCTTTCTGTCCGCTAAAAAATTGATTTTGCAAAAGACTTTGATGAATCTTTCTAACACACAAAAAAAATTAATTTCGAAGAACCTATGATTTAGAATCTGTCTTCCCTCGTGAACTAACTGATATATGGTGAAAACACCATTAATCTCCCATAATTGTAGCAATTTTTAGAGAAAAGAGTATCCTGAAATTGCGCTAGGAAAAGCATGCATTAATCTTGCAACTGCCTAATAATGCATGCATGCTACCTAATGAACCTTGCTAATTGCATGTCGGTTATTTTCTTGTTTGTCAAATCTGATGTTTTTGGCTTTGATTTATTTTGTTCTTCACTGCTGAAAAACTTAAATCTTGCAAGCATTCAACGATTATTTGCAGCCATGCATTTCTTTTTATTCTAGGCGTTTCTAAGGTAACAACTTAACTTAGTGAAACGGTCGACTGCTCGCCAGTATTTGGTTATATAATTTTTTGTCCCTTTGTGCTAGTAATTTCAAAAATCTGTTCCTGTCGTTTAGAAAGTAAAATTCAAATTTTTTCAATAAAGACTTTCAATTTCTTTCAAACCATATAAGGTAGAAAAATATGTATGAGAACGCTGAAGCTGAACATTCTTCTACCTGAAACTGATGGTTGAAACAATGCTTTGCTTTTTCAATAAGTGCGATAGACAGAATATAAACCGCATGCTCTTACAAAAACTCGCCATACTATCTCGGATACTGTAGATGGGAACACGGGTTTTTTGGCGAATTTTCGAACTTTGCAAAAGCCTCTGTTGTTTGACACGGCTCAAAGAAGAAAAGGCCGTGTCTTTCGCATCTTCCCACATCCTAAAATAGTAATCATCGCCTAAAGAAGTATCTATCATTAGGCCCATAATTTATAGATGGCAGTATGCACTTCTCAGGAAAAACTTGGTCTATACTCATGAACAAAACGCTTCTTCTAGTCACGCCTACGTATGCATGCTTTCTCAAGTAGGCATGACAAGTGTTTGGTAAGAAATATTCGTTGTTGATTGACATCAAGCTCTAGGGATTTTTATATGTTGATGCGTGGGAAGGGATAGGATAGCAAAAGTAAGTAGGACTTTTCATGTACACTATTCCAAGTATCATAACTGAATAAACCCTTTTAGAAAATTCTGAAATTTTTTGTGAATGAGTGAAGGGGATCGGTCAGGAGCGAATGCTAATAACTCAATATAAACCAAACTTTCATTTCACTTTATGTGAAATTTTGCTCCTCACTGGGTAAAATTAGCAGAAACTGTCTCACTGACAGCGAATTACATACATACAAAAACTCGTTCTTTAAAGCAGTTTTTCTGTCCGTCCATATATTGGCTACGATGCAGATATGGTACTAGCCTTTCTAAAATAATCTTTTAGGTTTTTTGGTATCGAATTACCCAAAAAGGTAGAATTACAATGCGAGCGCCGCCATGAGATAGAACTTCGCTTACTATTCTCTTTGCACTGCTTAAGCAAAGCATAGCATTGATGCGATAATGTTTCTCTTTACTGTTAAGCTTTCCTGTACTGTCCATTTCATGAAGCGTCCCACGCAGTGCAGGAAAAAGCAAGCTCTGGGGAGAAAGTCGGGTCTTCTAGCTTACAAAGCATGTCTCAGTAGGAGGTCTTGAACTTCTGGATGACACCCAACCTACTCAAACGGCTACTCAAAACGCCGTCCGCGATAGTTTTGAATAAAACCTTTCTTTGCTCTCTTCGCACGCACTCTTATTGTGACTTGTCTTACCCTAGTCGAACTTTAAATCCTAAAGAGACGTCCATTGCTCTTGCCAAAACTCAAAAATACCCTGACACTATCCAAAACTGATATTTTCCATTGAACTTATCAAAAACGTTCAGAAAAGAGGGAATGAGCTAACAATGGTTCACTGTCGGCTGCAGCGTCTGAGTCTCAATAAAGCTCGTAAATGCTGATTGACATAGCTCAGCGCGTGATTTAAACTACGCTTAGACGTAGTATCGGGTGGCGCAGCTTTTACGTCTTTGAGCATGTGCTGCAATCTTGAGCAAACCATCTATGTTATTTCCTTTGCGTTGCGAAAAGAATTTCGATGTTTTCTCATGTCAGGAAATGGAGTCGACAAAAGATTTTGATCAGAAAAACTTGAATCTGAGGTTCTCCTCTCTAGTTTGTAACTAGGGCTTTCGATAATAGATGAAATCCATAAGAATATTTTGAAGGGGTCACATTAAGAATGGGAATCCATTATGGGATCTATATTGAAAGTATAACTTAGGTTTGCCTTCCATATTCAAGCTGTTCCAAGAACTGTTTAGAAATTGAGGCTTATTCTACACTCAAAGCTTCCTTTCAAAAGTGCAGAGTTTAAACAATCAAACAGCAACAATTTCCTTGTTTATGGACCAATTGGTGCTGGACACTCCTCATACCAACTATAATGTAACGATCAACAAAGTTCAGCTGAAAGAAGGCATACTTTTCTGAATGAATTTCAAGAAGGTGCTAGCTCTTCGGATTAGAATTGTAGGCTTAAGTAGTTTTGTATATGAAAAGGTACATAGGAGATGTGCCAAGCATTTGGTAATCCTTGGGATTAAAAAAACCCCGAGAAGAAAGTGGTTTCTTGAATTTTAAAAACTATAGAGCACAGGTCTAGATCCATAAGTCCAAAAAGCCAAAGTATCGAAAGATGATTGCTGAGATACCACCTCGAACAACCAAATATATTTACAGATTACTGCTGCTATGGTGTGTGTCCTTTGTTTCTGGTCGATTTTGTGACCCATCCGACTACAAGTACGAGTATACTGAATGTCAACCTGATGGATCCAGGTGGCGCGTAGCCATTCCACATCGGAGCGGGGACTGTGACTTGCCACCACCCACGCGTGGATTGAATTGCTGTAAGTTCTTTGGTACATTTCGAAAGCAGACTATAATCTACTTGTTACCTCCGTGAGCCCTCCAGTCTTTTTCCTTGTGAAGTTTTTTGTACAAAGGGCAAAATTGGGTAATCTTGCTACAGAGTATTATGAAAGGTGAGGATGGGGTGTTGACTGCGATTCACATCTCTGTTTTTGTATTCAACCCGAATGTAGGCGTATTTATGAGGCTTCAGTAGTAGAGTTACGTACTTTACCCCACCCCCCCCCCCATCGTCTTGCTGAAAGTTACGTTGGAGAGGCTTTTTCGATGTCTGGCCACTTCTACTCAGCGAATCTCCATAATTCTTCTAAATCTCAAGAAATTGCATGAGTTGAAATTTCATCTGCTGAGCTGATTACAAGTCTTTGTTTTGAAACTATAACAAACTGAAGAAACTAGGAAGCAGCAATTGCAAATGACGATTTTTGGTTGTTGCGAACATTATGAGGTATTATATCTTTTCGTTGAAGACAAGGGAAGTACTGCATCTTGGAGGCAAAACAACAAACTTTCCAACAAATACAGCTCAAAGTTTTGCACCAAAAAAAACTTCGCCAATTGTACTATAAATTATCATGTTTATGTTGCGTTCTTGATAAATATAGAAATAATTTCAATTTTAGACATATTTATAACCTAAAACCACCAAATTTTTATCTTTTATACTTTCGCAAAGCACCCGAAAAATTTAAAAAATATTTGCAGAGGTTCCTTGTATTAGTAGTTCCTCATTTTTTATTTTATTTACTATTATTATTCCTTATTCCTTTATTACTATTAATAATAACTCCTTCTGTATCAATTTTCCTTCCAAAGAAAAAATTAGAAAAAAATAAACATTGTGATAGACGCAAAGCAACATGTTATTTTAAAATCTTTTCAAATCCACTCCGGAGAACATTTGCTCAATTAATTTTTCCGAACATCTAACACAATTTGAGCACTCAGGTGAAATTGCATGCACATTAGTAAACAACTAAAGCATGTCATGTCCTCGCACTTCCTTGTAGGGATAGTTGTAGGTGTAGAAAGGGTAAATAGTACAATTGGTCATTACGTCCTCATGATTTACTTCAAAAGTGCATAAGTGGAGATTATTATGATTAATACGACGTTACAAAATCGTAACCATAGAGGAAATTGAAAGCTAAATGTGGTACTGTTTTCCAAACTTTTTCTCGCTTCTTACGCGTAGAATGCGCTTTTTTGATCGGGATAATTGAATTCGGAATTTGCAAGGTGAAACAAAATTTTTTCCATTTTCAGCATTTTCATGCTCGTCTGGTAATTATCTGGACATAATGACGCAATCTTGCCGACCATGCCCGCCAGGTAAGTCACCAAATTGGTTCTTATTTTGGAGAAAAGATTGAAATAATTACTTCACTATTTTTTATGCTTCTGAACTTTTAGGGCAGTACAGTTTGGGAGGTGGATCAAGATTTGAAGAGTTCTACACACTGCCTACTGGCTTTTCTATCGAGAACTTTGATCCAAGTTCGATGAGTCTCGACACATCGCCAGCAAAAGTCGAGGCATGTCCACCAGAGTAAGTAGCATGGACTTGTCATTATTTATAGTTTTTTTTTATCTCGTAAAACTTGATATTATCACACGGTTTCCAAGTGTCACATTTGCTAAAAAATCTCTCCTTTATCGATTTATAATATTATCAAAAGGAATTTGTATGAAGTGAATTTTGCATTAGAAAATTCGAAAAGAACTCAGTGGTTTTGTAATTTCAACCTTACTTATTTCCTAGAATCATGATGACCATGTTAAATTTTCCGTAAATGTTTTTCTTTTCGAATTCTGTCAACAGGCAAGGATAACAAGAAACTTTTCAAAGGAAGAGATCATGGAATCTATCAAATCGACGAGGACCTGTCAAAAATGCAAAACTATGGCAATTATTATTCCAACGATTGAAAATACTAATGTCGCAGAAAGCCGCGTTTTAAAGAATGTTTCCCAAAAATTACAAACATGATTCATTCTTCATTTCATGTCTTCATTCATACTAGTATAAGAGAAAATTCAAAATTGCGGATAATCTTACAAATTGCTTATTAATTTGATTTTTTGACATCTAATATTTAACCCCCTAATACATCTATTAGGTTGTCCGGAAATTAATGCCCGTTTTAAATTCCAACCGCGCTAAGTCATATACTTCTAATCTCTAAATGGGTTGCAAAGTACCATTCGATAGAGCAAAGCAAGCTCTACAAGATGGCCATCTTGCTTTTGCAACAGCTTTGATCCATCTCGAGTTTCGAGCCAAAAACTAAAAAGACTCACCAGTCCGAAAGATCGAAAAAAATCGTAACTCCGTGCACAAAAATTCTACAAAAATTCTTACTTGCTCACATAAACACTATCCGCATGAAACATCTATAGACGCCTTTGCCGTATTTTTTTTCTGTTAGAAACCAAGGAAACGGAGATTTTCGTGCATTTGCCAAAGTGATGCTGTGCCGTTCCCGCATAGGTAGTTGTATACCACAAGTCTGTAGAAGTACAGACTTAAATTTCCAGCTCTCTACAAGCTTTAGTTCTCGAGAAATACCGAATATAGCTTTCCTCAGTTAGGTAGTCCAAGCTAAAATTCAAATTTCTCGAGAACTAAAGCCTGTAGAGAGCTGAACATTTAAGTATGTACTTTTTCAGGCTTGTGGTATACAACTACCTATGTGGGGACGGCACAGCATCACTTTGGCAAATGCACGAAAATTTCCGTTTTCTTGGTTTCTAACAGAGAAAAAAATACGGCAACGGCGTATATAGATGTTTTATGTGGATAGTGTTTACGCGAGCAAATTAGAATTTTTGTAGAATTTTTATGAAATGAGTTACGATTTTTTTCGATTTTTCGGGCTGCTGAGTCTTTTTATTTTTTGGCTCGAAACTCGAGATGGATCAAAGCTGTTGCAAAAGCAAGATGGCAATGTTGTAGAGCTTGCTTTGCTCTATCGAAAGGTACTTTGCTATCTATTTAGAAGTGAAGAGTGTATGACTTATTGCGGTTGAAATTCAAAACGGGCATTAATTTCCGGACAACCTAATATTACAATATTTTAGAACTGGCTGGCTTATTCGAGATGCTGAGCTACTCTATGTTCCAACACCGTGCGTATCTCGCTTGTCATTTTCTGCCAATCTCGTTCGACCCGGCTTTGTTGAGTTCTCCTATCGAATGCCGAAAAACAACAAGGCTCTTTCGCTACAAGTAGATGTGCGAAATCAGCAGTGCCAGAGCTACAGGTATCTAGAACTTAAACTTTTATTGGTTTGTGAAATTGAGGAGTAAGCAATAAATCTGTTTAGAGAAGCCATGCAGTCTATGCTTACAAAATATGCTGGAAATAGTCGGACACACAAAGAGGAATCGAATGGGGATTGGCAAAAGCGAGTAGTTGATCTGAGAACAGGTGAGCAATAGGTCCTAAGTTTGTGAATTTTTCATCACTGGCGGGGCAGGAAGGGGGGGGGGGATTCTATACAAGATTACTAGCTGGCTTACCCGGCTCCGCCGTATGCTCCGAATAGAAAATTCCATTTCTGAACCGATCGGGACCAAACTTAGCACACATACGCTTCGGGCCCCGGCGGGTGTCACAGTCCACTTTTCGCTGTCGATCGATGTCGATTTTGTCGATTTTTTGCAAAATTTGAGCTAGGGGGCTGGAATTTGGCAGAGGGGTGTAATCGAGCATGCTGATCACCCCCGTGGGGGTGATCAGCATGCTCGATTACCCCCCTGCGCCAACTCCCAGCCCCGTAGCTCAAATTTTGCGAAAAAAATCGATAAAATCGATAAAATCGATATCGATCAATGACGAAAAGTAGCCCATGACACCCGCCGGGGCCCGAAGTGTATGTGCGCTAAGTTTGGTCCCGATCGGTTCAGAAATGGAATTTTCTATTCGGAACATACGTACATACAGACAGACAGACATACAGACAAACAGACATTCAGCTTTATATATAAGATGGCAACTTGCTTTCATTCGTAGTGGGATTGATCGAAAGAATAGTTTGGACAAACTCGCAGGCGTATCCAAAAATTTTCCAGTTCTAGGTCAAACCTGAAACTAAAACCTTGTTAAATGTTTCACAAAAACATTCTGACATACCTCTACCTACTCAGACAGTCGACGGCATACCTCCGGAGCAGAAATGGCAGAGCCGCGGGGTTTCCCCAGCGGGGGTTTGCCTTTCGTGCTCCGGAGCCCTCCCATTTTGTGCTCCGGAGGCCTCCTATTTGCACTCCGGAGACCTCCCATTTTGTGCTCCGGAGACCTCCCATTTGTGCTCCGGAGCCCTCCCATCTGCTCCCGAGGCCTCCCATTTGCACTCTGGAGACCTCCCATTTTGTGCTTCAGAGGTGTCCCAAATCTGGCGTACCTCCGGAGCAGAGATTTGCGCGTCCCGGAGAGAAGTCCCATTCGCCTGCTTGTGACGTCACCGTGACCTACAAGAAGGAACCGCCCCCTCGCCCCGCTCTCAATGGTCAATTGGGTCCTCCGCGGCTCTGCCAGATTTCGACTGTCCTCCGGAGCTACGGCACCGACTGTCTGAGTATAATTACAATTTGGAAACATTCACATTCCAATTCATTACTTGTTGCAAATTTTCAACGAACTTTCCAAAATTTTCCATTTAATGGAATTACCTTCGCTGTCCCGGTGAAAACTTCACACCGTCACCTTTCAGCCAAACAAACTCCTATTTTTAGGAGCAAATGTCGTCAGCTGGACTGTTACGAATAGCGCAGGAGCAAAAGTGTCATCGGAACCTATAAGGGTCTCAAGGATCGACGTTCTTGGTAGGATTTTGTTGCACAATGAATTCTATATTATAAAATCGATCTATTTTAGAGATTTCTAATATAAGAAACGGTTCACTTCTGATATGGTCGCACTGATATTTTCCCTTTGATCAGAGTTATGAATGTGTTTTTTAGGTCTCGCCTTCACACGAGAATGCTCCCTATGTCCTGCGGGTACATACTCGACTGGAGGAGTGGCAGAATGCACACCTTGCGCTGCAGGCTATTATGCCCCAAAAGGTGCCGCTACATGTGGTCGTTGTCCGCAGACGCAGTTCTCAGGTTGGTGATCTATAACACCGACGAAAAAGTTATTATAACAAGATACCATGTGAAATTGAACGCTCTCGTACGGCACTGTGAAGAAAAGGGGTAAAGAAAAGTTTGGGAAAAATGGCGTTTACAACCGTTCTCCAATTGGTTCGCGTTATCTGTGATTGGTCAGACTATGGGTAGGGCGGAGTAAGACGGGGAACAGGATAAATTGCGTGTGCATGCGTTTCTCATGCCTTCACTACATATGCTCAACTTGATAAAGCGTGCGAGCGTGATTCTCTGAAAGGAATATGTCCAAAATTTAGCCTTTCTTTCCTTTTTCCCAAAAGAAATTTTTTTAGGCCCGAAAGCCGAACGATGCACTGAGCGGCCGGCATGTCGATCATCTGACTACTACCCTGTCACTGAACCTTGCGCAAATGGGACAACTCGTACAACATATAAAAAGGTCCAGCCGGCTGTATGTAGAGAAGATCTGCCCGAAGCTGCTAAGGTATAAATGACTTTGATCGGATTCTAACCAGTGGCGCATCACTGAAATTTTGCTCTACTACCTGTTGAAAAAATTGTTGCACTTTACTTAAAGAAAACAGAAATCAAATTTATGGATCATGATGTCTTCCTAAGAGCGTCAATCTTTAGCGAATATCATGGCATTTTAATTTAGCACATAATGTGGTCGATAGGGTAGGTATATAGCGCTTGAAAAGGTTGCTTGCTTGAAACAAAAACATCTCTTAGCGAATATCATGGTCATTTAGAAAATTTGTCTGAAACAAACTTGAAAAGTATCTCAAAAACTATATCTCCTTTTTTGCACATTCTCGCAGGGAATTCTCGATCTCTAGCACTATTTTTTTGGAATTTTGCACATCTTGTCAATTGTTAGATGCCCTCACCGAGTGCAACACGAGAATGTCCGCCCTGTAATCCAGGCATGGCAAAGGATTCGAATGGTGTTTGTGTTTTCTGCCCAGCCGAGCACTTTTCCCAGGGAGATGGTAAGCTAAGCGGCTTTCCCTCGCACTCCTCGTTATTTACCACTCTTTGCTTTAGCTTGCATACGCTGTCCCGTGGAGACGGTGCCAAATTATGGCTACGAGTACGTTCAGTGGGACACCGTCCCGCCAAATATCGTAACTCGATGCGAGTATATTAGCGAAGGTATGTTTTAGCTGGAAAGAAAGAAAATTCATGAATCAGCTTGGAGGCACAAAAAAGGAGAATGGCGGATAGTCAAGAAGAGGATGTATTGCAGAGAAACCGTGCAAATTCCTCTATAATTGTTCGTTCCACATTCAAAAGGCATCATCAAGAAAATTAAGTTAGACTCGGTATTAGTCCTCGGTTCAATCCATTTGTGTAATCACTGATCCTGAAACGATGTTGAGCAGAGCGTTGATTTGTGCATTATTTCCTGGAAGAGGAAACTGAGCACATTGACATGGAAACAGGGGGGGGGGGAACGCGAGCTGGGACGGCGAAGCGGAATGCCCGTTACTCCGCGCATTATGTCGCAAAATTTCGAAAGGTGTGCCACTGAGTTATATAATTGGGCAAGTAGACTGTTTTGATTGACAATTTTTGAAAAACCCCAAAAGTACGAGTCAGCTTTGCAAAAAAGTTTTACAGGCAGCCTCCTTTTTACAAAATTTTTAACTTTGGGAGTATCTTACATCTAAAAGGAAATCAACGTTCCCCCACCCTCTCCTCTAAAAATATGTAATACTGCAACTTTGAAATGGTTATCTTAGAAATAGACACTGTATGATATCTCTGTAGTGAATTCTAAATATCTGAAATTTTATGATTAAGTTGATTATGATTATTATTCCATGGTCTGATCTATAGCATTCCATAACAGCTTTGGTCACGGCCTGGCACCAGCTGGCACGGGCAAGCTGGATATCGTTTTTGGGGCAAAAAGCAAAGGGGGTTTCATTTTTGTGGGCGAAGACACGTCAAAAATTGGCGACCTTTTTTTAGTCGACGTTTCGTTTTTGGGGGGATTTTGGGGAATTCTTCAGGTTGAGGGGATATCGTTGAGGGTCAAACGGGACTTCGTAAAATTTTGGGAAAGTCAAAGAGGACTTCGTTTTGAAAGTTTCCTGATGCCAGCTCGTGCCGAGCCCTGGCTTTGGTAATTGACTTTATAATGAACCTTTATTTTCCAGAAGTATCGACTGCCTGTGACATTGGTGAAGCCTGGATGGCATCTGGCAGTGCATTAGTCTCAGCACCTTCACTGCAAAAAGGAATAGCATTAGAGATGGAATTAACTATAGCGGAAGGTATAATGCGATATGAAAATTTGTAAAGTCTTATAATTTCTTCGTTAGGTTTCTCCAATCCCATGGCTCCAGTAGAGCAGCCACTAACGCAGCAAGCTCCTGTGGCTCACGTTTCGATCGTTTTTGAGACAACTTGCGCTGATAGCTCCTGCGTGCTGTACATGATCGAGGTGAAACCGAGCATCTCAAGTTTGTTCTAAGCAGACCAAGATATTCATATTTTAGAGCCCCATGGAAAGGACGAAAACGTCTCAGTTCCGATTTCTTGCTGCTTTCAATGGTACCCAGCCTAGACGAGTCTGGTCGCATAGCGTTTTGAGAAGAAGAGCTGCTCGGTTCTTGGTTGGTTTGTCATCAAGATTGAAATTTCATAGTTTGGAGGCATTTTCCAAGCACTCTGGATCTGGGGTTCTTATGTGGAGTGATTAGTGGTTTCGATTAATCCATCACGCGAATTTCATATCACTAGTCTGTTAGCCTAGAAATTTCTCGTTTGCCTACACCCTACTCCCTCCGAGTCGTTAGCTTTTCGAATACGGTAATGGGCGAGAGTTTAGCGTTTGATATCTTGGCCACAAATGATTTTTGTGAGCTGCTTTTTGGGCGTTTGCTTGATTGGAACCCATTCATTATTTGCAAAAACTTTAAATAGTAAGGTTCGCCGCCCGAACACTCTTTTTTGATCGGCCATATACAATTCAGGTCGCATTCCTCCGCTCCGGCGCGACATCCGGCGATGACGCGATCCTGGATCAGGCTCGCATCTTGTCCGTCAATGTGACAAACGTTGGAACAAAAACTGGCAAACAAGGTGGTGGAGCAAGCCGATGTCTACCATGTCCTTCGGGCCAATTTGGGCAATGCATACCATGTCCACCTGGACATTTCATGACCCCTGGGGTGAGCTCTTAATACTCGCGTGAGTCTTGTAAATTTTAAACTGATTTTTCATTTGATTTTTTAGACCCATCAATGTGCTTTGTGCCCACCGAATACGGTAGCAAACACCTCTTCTGACCGTATCGGTATCGAGACTTGCATAACTTGCGGGGAAAATTTACACGCGCTAGATGGGGTGGCATGTAGATCGCAAGGACTCATTTCGGTTGTAAAGGACAACAAGACTCTCAACTACGATCTGTCATCCTGGGTGAAGAAGTAAGACCCTTCCCTCCCTATATTCGCCACAAGAGTGCAAGTGCTCACTTCAGAACCTGGACAACGACAGCAGTGAAAGTCTTCGCCCGTGAAGGGTCATCATATTACCATTCGTTCAATTTCTCACTGTTTGGTGGCGATAAGGTCGAGTGTAAAGAAGTTTATGACTCAAGCGATGCTTTCTCCTTGGTTGATCAGGTGTGGTTGTTGAAATTCCAAAGGAAAAAAGGCTATTTCTCTGCTAAAATTAACAGAGTCCATATTCAGAATCGTGAGACCATATCTGGAGCAGCCTGCAGATTGACAGTTTTGCCGGACATTGGAAGCAATCATACCAAACTCGCATCTGTTTCGCCGTTATTGTGAGCCGCAGTTTCTCTTCTCTCGAGTCTTTAATCAGAAAATTTGAAAAATAGAAATTTTTGCAGTAAATTTTCCAACTCTAGTTTGAGCGAGCAATTCAAAAGAAATAAGTAAGGTTTTATTCACAATAATAGCTGAAAATCCGTGTTTTTGCTCTCCACGAAATCAAATTTTCTTTTTCTTACAGTAAAGAGGGACCAGATTTTCTGTTGAAATTTTTGATCTATTATATTAGTAGCTGGTTTTTGTAAAAAAAAAAGCTCGAGATAACTTGTGAACACCGAGGCATTTAACTAGAACATTTCCTATCACTATGAATTTGATCCGCTTTTGATTTTGTATACTTTTACAGGCTAGCAACCCGCCTCGAAGAAATTAGTTTGAAACGAAATAGAGAGGGATGGACACTGACAGATCAACTTCTCGAATATGGTGAGCCTAAAACTTCGGATCAGCACTGATTGAAAAGAAGTAAAAGGAGCTAAATCTAGAAGGAACAGAGGAAAAGTCACGTCCGATTGACATTCACTTCTGGTACGATACGGTGGGAGTGCCTTCTGAAGCGTGTCCAAAGGGAAATGCTTTGGTAATAACCGTGAGATGTATGCCTAACAAAAAACAACCCGAGGTTAGTTTTTGCTTCACTAACTCTAGAAAAACTCATTAATTTGCGCAACTGTATTCGTAGGTGCGTCTTCCACGTACCTGTCCAGACGGGACCTGTGATGGCTGCTTATTCCATGCTATCGTTGGATCCGTACAGGTAAACATCAGACCATTCAATTTTGAATTGCGAAAGAAAGAACCATTAATGGGGTATAGAGTAAGGAACATCTGGCTTACTTACGGACGAACTCGATTTTTAATAATCTCTATGTTTTTTGCTCTTTCCGACATAAGGAAAGCCTCTACGACTTTTTGGGCAAAGGGAAATGCTAAAAGCAATGCTTTCTTTTGCCCAGAATGTCGATTCACAAATTTGGGGGTTTTGGCGCGATCATTCAATCTTCATCACATTGAGTTGCGCAACAACAAAATCAATTAATTGCAGATTTCAAATAAGATTTAGAAATAACAAAAGCTTACAACAGAACAAACAAGTATGACGAAAAATTTTTTAAAACCGTCGAACTTCTTTTCGCTTATCTCTCAGCTTTATTGCTTCTTTCACAAAAAGTTCCTGGAGCAGTATGAAGAAAACATGTTTTGTGCGAAAATTAATGACGTTTTCTTTCAAAATAATTTTGGAACTGCAGTCAGAATCTTGAAATGAAAATGAGTCCAATCAAAGCACAAACTGAAAAGAAACGTCAATGTCAATGGCTGCAATTTTTTGAATGAGCACAAAACTTTTCAACTTTATCAGTTTACTTATAGTTCAGCGCAGTTCTTTTCTTCAAGAATCTAGAATTATGAATTTTTATTCAGAATGAGCAGTGTTATTCAGTGTTTATGAAAATTGAAATTCTTATGTTAAGAAGCATGTGTCATGGATGTACTTTTGAAACCTACAAGCTCTTTGAGACCACTTATTTAGGCGTGTCCCATCTGTGGTATAGGTGATTACGACATGATCCGAGGCGAATGCGTCGACGGACAACAAACTATTCATTACATTCCCGACAAGTGAGTTGAAATTGAAATCTGTCACGCAAAACTAAAAGATGGTTCAAGCTGAATAAACTTATTTAGGCATTGCGTTCTGACCGGGAAGGAGGCTCAGTCCAGGAAGGAAGCATGTTCATCTTTATCACAAAAGGAGAAAATGTTCCTCGCCTTTGGTACAACGATGTTTGCCATCCTCTGTGTCGCTTTAGTGATTATCTGTCAGAGGAATAGGAAGTAAGAGCTTTTACTCATTAGACGTATTCTCCATATGCAATAATCAAATGGAAATCTTGCTCGCTTAGCATATAGCTCTATTACGGTTTGGGCACAAAGCAAATTTTTGGATTTCACATCAAAAAATTTTATTTGCAAGTGTTACCACAATGCATTAGGTGTGACAAATATTTTCAAATAAAAATGTTATTTCGTATTCCTTCCCTACCACAATTCTATGCTGCAGATTGGAATACAAATACACCCGACTGATCGAATCCCGCAATGGTGAACTCCCAGCTGCAGAAACTTGTGGATTAGAAGACGATGAGGAAGACGAGGTGAATGTAACTCTTTGAAACACTTGTTTTGGAAAGGGACTATATGTCGCCGAAAGGGGTGGTCCCACAGAGGACGCAGCTCCACACATTACAGGCAATACAGATTGTACCAGCTATCAGCGAGGGGTGGAGCAGATATATCGGCTATAGGCGACGTATAATTCCCTACCCCTTGTTCTTCAAAACAAAAAGGATGTAATGATTTTGAGTATGAATGAGCATGTATGTATTCCCTATACTTGGCTAAATTGCAATAATGGTTGACGTAAAGTGAGCCTATCGAGTTAGTAAAAGATCAATTTTGCACTCTGTCTCCAAATCTTCCCTCCCACCTTCCCGCAGTATTTCCAAGAAAATGATTTTCTTCACCGCATCATTTTGACTTGCGGTGTGAAATCTACATCTACCGAATTGTAAACAAAACTTGTGTCATTCGTGAAGTTACCATAATTTATCGAATCACGGTTTTACGAGCCGCGACAGATGACGGTAGTTCATAAAAAAGATTTTTACGGTTTGATATGAGACTTTTCAATTCTTATGAAAGGCAACTGCTGTTATGTTTACCAATGATTGTACTTGTCAATTGGAAACCACCTTCTAGCTTAGTCTGAACATACTAAATATATGCTTTTTTTCAGGGCGCTGACCGAGTCATATTCGCAAAAGGCAAGCGGAAGATTTTCGGCGGCCGTGATACCGAAGCTTTCGTACCGCTGGAGAATGAAGATTGAGTCTTGACCGGTGTAGACATCGAGTTTGCCTTCCCTTGCCTCTATTCATCACATTTTTTTCATTTCTACAAATATTAGCTAAAGAAACTTCCATATTGGAAATGTCATCGCTAGTATTCCACGTCTAATTCTATGTGACTTCCTTTCCGTCCTTTATTTTTGTAATGTAGTGCACTTTTATGTGATCTCACGTTAAGAATCAAAAATTGTGAGCTCCAGCTTGCTTCTGCGCGGGTTCAACTATGTATCTCCCAGCCAAATGTGTCCCGCTTACAAAATATTTCCATTTGTAAATATTTGCTGATGCATATCGTACATTGAATATCACCTTCTTGTCTTTATTTGCGATAATAAAACTTCTATAAATTCAAGACCATGACGGTAACAGGCACTGTCCACCCGTGCTGCGGACGATGAGGTATGGCGATGAGCGGGTATCACGAATGTCACAATTTCATTCTTGCTCTTGTGACATAGTAGACCCAATAGCATACGTTGAAGATCGCAAAACCCTAAAACAAACGAAGTTCGGAAAATATCATCGATTCGTAACTCAATGTGATTGCACATCATGCGCGTTACTTGACGACTTTTGAGATTACAGCCTGCTTATTTCCAGTAATTTCTCTGTAATTCCTTGTCTCTTTTGGGTTGGCTGAATATGCATTAGGATGACACATGATTTTTGAAACTTATTTCGTAACTTTTCTCTTTGTTGACTGCGACGCATTCATTCTGGGCATAATGATTAGGTTGTAGGAGTACGTACGCAAACAATTTAATTTTTGATAGCGAAGTGGACAAAACTAACGCATTTTTGAAAGCTGGTCAAATTCGAAATTTCAAGAGTCGAAAAAAAATGAAGCCGTTTTCAGTCTGAACCAATTACCCAAGTTGTTGATAGAGGAATCTCTAATGATTTACACAGTTTTTTGATGCGTTTGATTCAGACTGAAAACGGCTATGTTTTTGGTTTTTCCTTGAAATTTTGAATTGACCAGCTTTCGAAAAAATGCGTAAATTTTCTCTACTTGTTTGTACCCTGTTAATTAATCTACATTATGCCCAAGAATGGATGCGTCACGGTTTAAAAAAAAAGAAAAGTTACGAAATAAGTTGCAAAAACATATAAGCCAACCTAATACTAGGTAGTAGTACCACTTCTGCGGTTCGGCTAGAAAATATTGTCGTCTTTCCCCGCGCATAGTGTGCGAACTCACATAGTAATTTACAAACGACTGGAGGATATATTCGAATTTATCGAGTGAATATAAAGCCAATAAAACTTACCACGGGAAATGCCACACTTGCTGCTTTGTCGATTGCAGCACTCAAATGATCTCCTCTGGTTCTGTGCATTGACATTTCGACAACGCTTCTGAAATTTTCGGAACCGAAATGAAATTTTTTATAACCGAAAAATTGAAAAACAGCCCGTCCAAACTTTCCAAACACATCTCTCTAACTTCTTATATTACTATTTTCTCTAGCACGTTTCAAATCATGACAACAAAAATCAGAAATTATCGCAGATCAAATAGATTTGCAAAGCTTGTCTGAGCGCCCTTGACCCCGCAAAAATTCTGAAAAACTTCAATCAAATCGAATTTATCTTTTACTTCGAACGTAATACGGTTAGTAATTTTGAGTGCAGTCTTTTTTGATCTTCTGTCACCAATGCTTCAAGATATTTTAGTGCAATTTTCAATTTCCTATACCTTTTCGACGAAAGCTCAGACAGCATGTTTCAGACTTTTTGAGTCTGCGCAATAGTCAAATCGCCTTATATAGAGTTGCTACACTCGCCATTATTCGTCCTACCCACCTTCTGAATCCTGAAGAAGTTCCATTTGAGGATGGGCCAGACACACTTGAGCTTCTAAGACGTTGGTCATCCATTTTGTCATTGTATGCCACTATCGCCAACTCGACCAAAGAAAAGAAGATGAACCTAAGAGTATAAGTTGAGCACAGTCAATGCGCAAATCTGCTTGAAAAAAGTTTGTCGTGATTGTCAATGCTGCATTGTGAGTTTGGAACAAAGTAAAACAATTATTCATTACTACAAATAGGTCACGAGATATACGTGATTTTATAGAATCTTTAATGTGATTCTTTTTGTGCAGAGCAGAAGAAAAAATTACTCTATCCGTGCATTCTCTGCTTATGCTTTCTTTTTTGAGTAAGTTGAGTTTTTATTCAATTAAAACACCTCAAATTTCGCTCTGCTCTCACATGGAAAAGATTTGAACAAAGATTCGACTTTTATATGCCATTGCTTTATCAAAACATGGAGACCTTACCCGACACAGCCAAACATCCAGATGTCAATGGCTTTCACATAGGAGGCCTGAATTATTAACGTTTTCCCACGTCAAAGATGACATTTTATAAATCATCTCAATAAAATAAAATTCTACCGAACTTGCCTTTGGTAAAGACTTGACGATGTTTCCAAATTGGAAGGTGAGAGCCATAAGCGATGAAACCGACAGTGTGATCCTTGCCGGTAGCGCTCGTGTGTCCATCCAAAATGCAATCCAAGAGATGAAAACGGAGACATAAGTTGGTAAGTACATCTAAATCAAGAAAAGCCTTTGTTTACTGATTTATAATACCACACTTTACCTGTAATATATAAAAGCCGTAAAGGCGTTCAAAATGAATAGAAACGGACAAACGGTGCCATAAACCCGCTGTATATGTCTGTAATAATCATTTATATTTTTGTGAAGATCTAAAAGAGTATTTGGACCAACCTCCGTAAAAGATCCATACGTGATGTTAGTCATCTTGAAATCTGGCAAGTTCCAATCTTGCTTGACAGAGCTGACCGGAGACCATTCGAGCCAGTGAAGTGATACCTAAAACATCGCAATTTAGTTACAACATTTTACCCAAAGTATATAGGCTGAAGAAGGATGTGAGGTTTACTTTCAGGATCTGCTTAATATAAAAGTTGAACTGCAGATTTTTTCATTGTTGAAATCCGAACCAACAGTTTTAATTATGCCTATTTTTTCTTGTCCTCAATTTCTTTTGAATCCTGTGTTGTGCTTAACTTACCTCAGCAGAGTTGTATGAGTAGCTTTCCAGTAACAGTGTGCACCTGATGCTATCCAGTGGGAACGTTCGTAGATCCATGTGGCAGGGGGCTGGAAAGAAATGAGATTTGCATCTTGAGTAGGAAATTTGCACAATTATCTTAAGTTTTCTCAACCTTTATCAGTCAAAGAATTTTCTTGAGGCTCATTACCTTAAATAAAAGCTCTTAATTTTATTAAATACTACAGCTGTGAATTACAGGGTGCGGCAAAAATCTGGGAGCCTAGTACTTTTTCGTACAAAACGAGAAGGGAAGTACCTAGAAACGAAAAATTTGGCGCGCACATAATTCGAACCATTGCAGATACAGCCCAGTTCTTGAATTGCAAAACTGCCTCTTTTGGCTTCCACGCAGCCCTACAGAATCTTGGCAAGTCCACCTGTCATGACATGTAGGTAGTCGTAATGGAATTCGCCCCACGCCTTCAAAACATCTGCTTCTTTTACCTTGGCAAATGCGCAGCTTGGTAGAGCAAACTTTTGTCTACAACATACATCCAGAAGAATTTTTTGCACTGCTTAGGAATAAAAATATTGGATTTTAAATTAGAAGCATGTGTACGTCGCATACCGGAATTTTGGCTACAATTGCGCGAATAAAAACTCAAAATTATCGTTAAAAAGGTATAAAAAGTGTTCCCATGGTTGAATTTCAATAGATTCTAATTTAGAAGACGTATGCAAAAAATACAGCCTTGGTTCTAGTGCCTGTTGAGCATTCTATAGCTTTTGAATTTGTTCTGAAGACGGATTTCCACTGGCACTTAGGTAACATTCGCGAACTTTTATTTTCCGTTCATGCAAGAATAGCTCCTGGCAAAAGCAAAACTAGGATACAATAGCGCAAAGCCTCTTCTATGTTGTGTGCATCAAAGTTTTGTAAGATATTAACACCATCTCTAGTTACAGCAAAAATGGTAAATACCAAAAATTCTGGTTTTTTCGCTTTGCAAAAGTACTAGTTTGGTAATTTCCATTCTTACAAAAACGTATGGCAGCCATTTCCAGCCAAATAAAGTGTATTCTGTAGAGAATGACCGCAGCATCATGTGGCATAAAATTGAAATCAAAACCTTCAGTATCTTTTTAATTGCAGTACTGCAAATTGCTCCCAGACTTTTGCCGCACCCTGTATATTCAACATCCCCTAGCTATCGTTCTCTTCAGTTGTGTTCAAAATTTCGTCCATTTCACACTTCCATTCCATAATTACCGTTATTTTACTTTGAAGTGTTAAGTGCGTTACATTATCGTTTCATGTTATAGTCATACAATTCATACTGTACTGCGCAATACGAGATTGTATTTTTTATGCACAACTTACTTAAGTTGCTGTTTTCGTGTGGTTAATAGTCAGGTAAAATTCTTGAGTTTTCTTAAGTTTTTTCAAGCTTTAATTCTTAAGTTCTTTGAGTACGAGTATTATTTCCTATAAGAGTAATATGACGGCCACGTTGTTAAATCAGAAAGCGTTTTCATACAGTACAAATCAAATTTCATCCGATCAGATTTTTTCAGCTATTTTTAAAAACATGACTTTTTTTCCACGAGCTGAGGGTTGCCGGAAATCCTAATGAACTCACCCTCTGAACGAACTCGATAGTTGAGCCATACTGTCCCGTTTGGAAAGATCATAAGAAGAATGTTGGGTTTGGGAGAATCGTGCACCTAAGCAAAGTTGGAATTTTGGAAGCAGTTAGTGTAATGCGACTACATGCAAAACCTTAGTTGACTTCGAATTGACTACGCAAACATTTGGAGACCACAGTCGGGGTTCCATGTCGTGATCCAACGATAAATTTTTCCTACACGGGTCAAGATGTCCAAATGCTAACCTGAAAGTAAGAACAATATTTTTGAAGGGCTTTGCTAAGGTGCCAGCCATACCGCCTATCCATCCAGATGGAGCTAATTAAAAAATCCATAACAAAACTTCCTCTGATAGCAGAGATGTCTGAGATATCCAGTATAGTTATTTCTACCTCCACTTCAATAGGAGCCATTGGAGGAAGCGCATTTCTGCAATATGATGACAGTGTATTTTTTTATTGGCCGAGAAAAACAGCCAGTCAAGTGACTGCATTTTTTGAAAAGGAAGAAGGTAACTAGAAAATTACTCTACTTGGAAGGATTGGCGCAAACCACATCTTCAAGAATTTTCCGAGAACCTTCGCATCACACCCTCACGAGGAAAATCCCTTTTTTCATTTTCTTTTCAGTGAGATTTTTCAGCTTTTCAAAAATCTGTCCTGTATGTTCATAGTTACCTGCTGTAATTCTGCATCAGAATCTGGGCTATATCTCCCGCTTTTGAACCGAGATCTCCTGTTTTGCAATCGGGCCTCTGTAGCCGATGGTGAGCTGGAAACGTTCTTTAGTAAGAAAACTTAGACTACAGCAGAAGCATTGTGACCAGAAAGCAAAACAAAAACGTCCAAATTTTCTGCGAATATTTACATAGGGTGCGAAAAACTGTCCCTCAACTTGACTGCTAAAAATCTCACAGATAAAGGCATCTATAAGTTCTGACTCTTACATATAGCTTGGTCTTTTTGAGAATATTTCGAAATCTTTCCTACTTTCCTTAAGCAGTAAAAGATGTTCAAATTCATTGGAAAAGTAGGAATTTAGAAAAAATCTTCAAATTTGCATAAAGAGACTGTCATGAATTGATATGGAAAGCGCTGTGAACAGGGATTGACCACCGTGTGAAACTGAGAATGTTGGGACCTTTTGCAAAATGTTAGATTGTTTTCTTATTTTGCGATCCTTGCCGAATTTACGAAATATGGGAATCAAGGCCTATGTATTTACTAGTCATAATAATTTTGTACACATACCGCGATGAGTGCTGTTTGCCGATCCGAGTACCATCGCCTCCAGAAGAAGTGACTAAAATCATCACCTTTAGGCTCTACAAAACAAGAAATCTTGATAAAACCTCCAAAATTGAAAAATGGAAATATTTCGATCGTTTTGCCATGCGAACAGATTTTTCAGCAGAAATTCACAAACAGCAGACTATAGTCTCAATAGTAATCTGCCATGTAGCTAGGGTTATGGGTACTTCACCATTGAGTCACAAGTTTGTGCACTTACTATAAGCTGAGAACGAAACTAAGAACTTAAAATAGCGGTTTTTTAGAAGTCTAAACATGACTTTTTGATAAAGCGGAAAAACTCGACTAATCAGTATTTGAAAGTGGAAGGCTGAAGCTATTACTTCACAAATAAAACTCAGCTGAATACTGCTACCTGAATTACTATAGAGCTTTGAAATTCCATGTCGAAACGAAGTTGTTCATCAGCCAACCTGATAGTTAGATCAGAATAAGCAGAGTATGGTGCAAAATATAGAACTTGCTGCATTTGCAGTAATAGCTTCCTATTGCTGGAGACAATTTGAGCTCAATCATTCCTCAAATATTCGCTATATCTCTTTCTTTTGTCTCTACATGAGCCGCAGCAGAACACAAATTTTGAACCATTACAAGAAAGAAGTTTAGAGGTGCAAAACTGCAGTTTGTTCAGGCCAAAGGGTGACATCACCTCTCTAAAGTAGATTTGTGAAGTAACTACATGCTTTTCTTCTGTGTCAGTCAGTCCTTCCGGCTATCAAAGCGACGGAAACGGCTGCAAAAAGTTCGCAAAGGAAAGGGGTATGGCTATGCGCAGTAGCTTATTGTTAGAAAATTCCCGCGCATACGTACTAGCATGTCCTAGCAAAAACAAATTTCCCGAAAATTTTCCGTTCCCATGTAAAGAAATCCCGTTTTGTATAACGATCAAAAAATGAGGGCCGAATTCGTTTTGGTTTCAAGCACTTGAATTTCGAGGGCTTTCTCTTACTCGTGGTTACTACTTTAATTTATCTTTGATAAGCGAGCTTATAGCACTGTTTATTATAAAAACAGCAGCATGATATGGAGTGAATTGAACTGGGTTACATACCAGTCCACACCTCTATAGCTCCTATTTCGTCATCACTTGATTTTTAGAATACACTGTTTCTAGAATTATCTCTTCCCACAGCGTTTTGATTTGCAAACTTTTTCCTCTTCCCATCTCTTATTCATCTTCGTAAGTTTTGAGACTGGCTGCTACCGCGTTATTTGAGTTCTATTTCTTTTTGTGCACTTCAAGCGTATTAATAAGAAAATACATAAAATACATCAAATACAACCTCATTGTAAGTGGCATGATAAAAAAACTTTGAAGACTTCAGTGCATTAAGTCACTTGTCAGTTGATCAAAGCCGTTTCATGTAACCTAAGGAGATTCTTCTAGCTAATTTGATTGAATACGTATTAATGTCTGTCAAGTTTGAACATCGCGAACAAAAAAAAAACTAGAATACCCGTCAAAATTTGATTAGCCGAAATGACAGACCCCATGGTGAGCATTCGAGCTCCCTCGGTCAGAACAGCTTCTGATGAGAATGTGAGGATGTTAGAAACTAAGGAGGTTATTTCCATTAGCATCAAAGTTCCCAAGTTTCCAACCTTTATATGCACTTCGCAGCTTTTTGCAGAGCCATCACTTTTCTGCGCTTGAAGTTCAAAGGAAAGCACTTCATGCTTATAGGGCAATGAAGTTAAGCTGCGTGCATTGAGTATATGGGCGATTCTAGCGAAGCAATGCTCCAGTTCAATATTACATTCGCTCGGCTTGAATAACGAAAATGAGACAATGGAAAGATTACTTCACCTTCACCTCTGTTTTGAAAAAGTTTGGTTTAGCATACCGAAAAAAGAAGGTGACAGCTGCTAACGTAAGACGAATATATTAGTCATTTCAAAAGTAATTTCGCTTTTTTCAAAGGGGCGCCACATTTGATGGAATGAAGCTTTTAAGAGATCCGGTAGCATTCGAAACAGCATTTCATCCTCTATCTAGCGGTTATGAACGTTGCAGCGCAATCAATGAGCCTTCAGAATAGCACAAATCTGCGACTAATGCTTTTTGAGATGGTCAAGCTTCAAAATTTTTCTAAAATTTTATATCAACCCTCCAAAGGAGTCCAAATAACGATTTGGTAGAGCAAACCTTATAGGATACAGCATGACTTTTTCTTTTCTTTCTTAGCTCGCTATGATTTTTCAAAAGATTCTTGATCAAAACCATCGGATTGAATCTTGCTTATTCTATCGCAACCATATTTGAAGCTGAAGCTGTCTTCACAATTTATTGTGCTGACTCTCATCATAGTTGTTGAGATGGACTGTATTTTACGCGGAAATTCCATACCCTTCCCCTTCTCCTCGGTTATTCGAATTTACTAGTTTCCAATTGAAAAATGCTTACAATTTAGCAAGTATGCACATGCATAGGCTTGCAAATATTTTGATTTACCGCTCCGTATTCAATAAAAGTTTTGCAGCCGCCCTCTTGCGTTTATAGAGTGACAATGCGACAGCTAGGAAACGTATAGAAAAGGACTAACCCAAAGTGAAAACCTTTCCTGGGGCAAAAGCGAGTAGGTGCACTATTATGCTTTTGAGCAAAAATCGTCATAAAGGACCAAAAAAGAACGAATTTTCACACCGACAAAGTTTGGGGTGAAGTTAAGTTCTAAGTGTGATTTATATTACTGAAAGAGTTTTCGCCGACACGTTGTTTATACAAAATCAACTCATTTTGAATATTGATATCAAAGCCGGTAGTAATCCCCCCGACCTGGCGGCAGGTCTCGTCGGCAGATCGCTGGCACCTTTCCGTGAGGTGGCCAGAAACTAAAACCCCAAATTTAGGCCGTCCTAGGCCTTTTTCCAAAAAAATTTTCTCGATGAAGATGCCACCTCGACTCTATAGAAACCTCCATCGAAATTTGCGGTTCCAGAAATCCTCCTGTAGAAAAATATCTGGAAGCGCGGGAGAAGCTGCCGGCAACTTCGCGAGGTCTGCCGGCAACCTGCCGGTAGCTCGTCGAAATCCGCGAGATGGCAGCTGCCGGCAGGTCAGAGAGCACGAGAAACAACGTGCTCTTTTGACAGAGAAGGTTGCCGGCATCTCGACGTGCCCCTACCACGTCGCGGTGCTGGCACCTTTGCCGACGGCGTCTGCGAGTTTGCGAATTGCGGCGATATCACACAATTTACGTCAGGCGAAAAAATCAAAAATTCTACTTTTCATCAAAAAACTATCATTTTTCTCACTATATGAGTTTTTCTTTTTTAAAACGACGATTTTCTTACAGAGAAAAAATCCAGTAATGCCTTAGAATCATAAAGAACACCATCTTTGTTGGCAATCCCTTATAAATCTCGTTTGCACCGATTTCGCCCCTCTCTCGCTCATATCAATCAGCTATTCTTTCAGGTCAAAGTCTCTCAAGCAATGTATCGATTGCTCTTACAGGCAACCGTTTACCAACGCGTTCCTACAATTGCTGTGCAAGACGCAATTGTTGACCGAATGGTTGAATGGCTAACGTGATGGCACTTCAAGTTAAAGCACATAGGTTCGACCGCGCCCGAGGTAGCAGTTTTGCGGCTGTCTGCGTCATCAAAATTTAATGTGCGAAATGATTGCGTGCTAAGGTTACATAAGATTATTAAAACCTACAATCACTTCGCGAGCTGCCGCCGAAGATGGCAACTTTCCCGCGATGTCTGCCTATGCCGACATCTTTGATGCCACCAGGTAGGATAGATTACTACCGGCCTAGGTATTGCACTCAAAATGCAGAAAAAAAAACAATTGACGCACATAAAATAGCCATTTACTTGAAAGGAGGAAAAGGTGAACTTAGACGAATTTAGAACTCAAGCGAAAGTTGTCAAGCTTATTGCTTTTCAATTTTTTTCTATAATAATTTTGCCCCAGGCTTCCAAAAATTGATGGAAAACTTCATCATTTTGTGCAAGGCAAGACGAAAGATTAGAACCGAGCAAAATGCTAATGCTAAAATTGCTTCCTGAGTGGTGGCGCACATATTAGCTAAAGAGCATCTCGTGGACTCATCTAAAGTGATAGACATATGTCTAGCGTGAGATAAGGCTAAAGTTTACTCTTAGGAGGATCGAACATCATTCAAATATGCAAAATGCCGATATGAACTTTTTATAGCTGCTTTGTCGCTGTAAAAAAATTTCAGTAGCTCTTCGAATTCACTTTGACTGGTTCTTTGGTACAAGTTTTGAAGAAGCATGGCGCACTTTTGGGTTTGCAATCAAATCAAGCACGCTTTGAGTTGCAAGTCTGAGAGCAAGTCTTCACAACGTGAGATTTTCGAAGTCAGCTGCTCTGCGGGTTGAACGGCAAAAGGCCTAGATTCACATGGCACTCTATTTTTGGCCCACCCAAGCAAAGTAGATTTGTTTTCGCGTTCCAACCAAAATCAATTTTTGTATCCTAGTAATCAATTTGTGTTCCAATAATTTTACAACCAACGATAGTAAAACTTATTTTAGAGATTCGCTCTGCATTACCTTAGATGGAGGAGAGGTGTCGAATGCGCTTACAATTTGCAAAAAAGTTAATACTATCACAAACGATTTTGTTTTGGCGCAATTTTTGACATTTCCCTTTCAAGCAGTTTTTGAAGTTCATAATCTGCTTTTGTTTCAGCAAATTTTTCGATGATGTTACTTGCCAAAATTTAACTGGAATCTTTGACTAATGATTCATGTCCTGGTCTTATAGAGTTACCATGTACAAAATTGTGCTTATCTAATTTTTCATGAGTTTTTGGCATCATCTCCGCTTGATAAATTATTCCAGTAAGCTTCAAATTTGCTCAAACACTTTACTGAATTGTTACAGACTACTGTAGCCCGTACTTTTCCAACTGCGATTTGGCATTTGAGCAGAAGATCCTGGATTAGATTACATTAGATTAGAGCATAAGCAATGCTTTGTGAATCCCTTAGATG